CAACGATAATACACACCCATGTTTATTGCTGCATTGTTCACAATAGCAGAGATGGAAAGAACCCAAGTGCCTATCAACGAATGAATGAATAGAGAAACTGTGGCATATTCACACAGTGGAATACTATGCTGCATTGAACAACAAGGAACTCATGCAATATTATACAAAATGGGTGACCCTGGAGGACATTATGCTGAGTGAAATATGTCAGTCACAAAGGACAAATACTGCATAGTACCACTATTATAAAATAGGACTGACAAGGGGGCTGGGGGATAACTATGAAAAAAGAGGATAAATAATAAACACTGCATTGAAGCAGATAAAGAATTGAACTGCTTAAAAGGAGCATATGATTATGTATTATTTGCATGACAACAGTGCAGAAAAAAAAAAGAGCTGCATAGTAAAGTAGACTGGGGGAGGATGTACACCAAAAAAAAAGAGTTTTTTTTCAAAGAGAATAGTGAATGGGATGGGAGGGCAGGGAGAAAAATGTGCAACAATGAATGAATGGAACTCCAAGTTCTCTATAAACCTTCATTAAAATCTCAATTTAAAAAGAAAAAAATAAGTCAAAGATAACAACTCAGCTTGGTTCTTTCCAGATCTGAAAATTAGTCAGAAGCCCCACAGTAAAATCTAAGGAAGTCCATCAGACTAGGCCAGGTAAGTCTCTGCTTGGGTCAGAGACTCCCATCACCAATTTCCCCTTGACAATTATTAGTTTCTATCTTATGATGTATTGGCTCTTATAATTTCCTTTCCTCAGATAGTATTGAATATTGAAGGGTAGTTGTATGTTTTTTGCAACCTTATACTGTTTTTGGCTCACTTCATTAACTATGATGAGATACTATTTGGTGCATTTTTTATCCCTTACCTCACAGATCTGAACCACAACTTATAACAACTTTTTAATTAAAAATTTTTGTTGATTTCAGTCCTAGTAGAAGCTTACTCTATATTCTTACTTAATGGATATGATACCAATTATGTCACTTATATCATTCACAGGACTCTAAAATAATCATTCTGGTTGGCATATTCAATGAGTCTATTTATAATGCGTTTCTTGACTGCTACCTAGCAGATATTCCAACTGATAACAGGTTTGGAAGTAAAGATAACCTAAGTTAGACAACAGCAAAACAGTAATTACAGGGCATACCAGAAGTGATTCTTGACATGACAGGAGCATTTCACAGACTTACATTTTCATAATTAGATTCCGCTTTTCAAGCAGACACAAATGACAATTGAATCTAAAATGTTTCCCTCCTCTTGACACAACACACCAAAAAAAGTGTTCAGAAGGCATTCAGGTACACTTTATATGAAAGAAATTGACGAATTAGACTATATATATATTATTCCACAGTAGAAATTCATTGTGAAATGAAATTTTCTTATAATAAATGCATTTCACATCCATGTTGTTCATGCTCTACAATTCCTCATAATGGGGTGCTCCAGTATGCAGCTCTGCTCTCCAACCTATTAAGAACATGCCTGGCCACAGAAGAATGCCCCTCACACTGCTAATTCCTCTTCCTCAGAGATCTGAGGGAACATTTGTGCAAACTTAAGTTTCAGCCACAGTCATGATTCATATTGATTCAAGCAAGCCATAAACGGGGAGACTGACTTGACAAAATATGTCGGTCATACTAAATTCTAAGATTTAATATGGGGATTTTTAACCAAGACATCAATCTACTCCATGCTAGAACCTAGTTCTACCTAACCTGTCTAGCTAATTTAATTAGACCAAAATTAGGAAATAAATCTTAAAAGACCGAAAGAAAGAAACCATACAAAAATGCTTGCAATCAAATAGTATATAAAAAGAACTGAATAATAAAAATCTTCTGTTTAATCCAATAGCATCTAGTAGAATTATAGTTATATATATGAACATGAAAGCAACTGATAGTAAAATCAAACAAACTTTAAAAGTAATCTAAAAAATGCCACTAGTATTTTCCTACATCTATCTAGTATTATACAGGTTTTTTTTTTTTATTTTGCCTTTGATAATTAGGATACTTTATAGAACACATGTATACCAGCAACTCTGTTTTATAGTCAGAACTTGCAAAAGAAGTCATATTGAATGCACTTGATTGCTTTCAGCTCAACCTAAACAAGGAGCCGGGTGGTTTATAACTAAAGAAAACTGATTACCAGAACAAAATAGAGTTTCCCCCAATGACATACAACTTAATTAATTTGGTTTGTACAAAAAGATAGAACACAGCATTGGAGATTTCAAACCCCAGATTTAATCCATGGTAATAGCAATGGTAACAGTGAGTGTATGCTTTAAAGACATTTTGTTATATTTGCACCTTTTTTTAAAAAGTCAAGTAGTCAGTGAGTATCATAATTCATTCTGAAGATGGAGAAACTGATCACACAGCTGATTAGCACCAGAACTGCTGCCAGTAAACAGGACTTCTGACTCTCAGCACAGTGCTCTTCCAACCTCACTGCATAGCTGCCATATAATATATCTATATCTATCTCTATCTGTCTCTGTCTCTGTCTCTCTCTCTCTCTGTCATCATTTTTAGACGAGAATACCCTTTCTACTTCTCAATCTGTCAATCACACTGCAACCACTGGTCCAAAATAAGGCTTAATAAGATTTTCAGCTATTAAGGTAAGACATCCCTATGGTGGTCATTAACTCCAAGAACAACCCACAGATGATGGTTTCCAGCATCAACATGTTCCCCTCGCCCCTGCCCCCTACAGGAATGGCAACCAACTTTGCTGCCTGTTAAAGTTGCTGGAGAAATTGACTATATGCAGAAAAATGGCTATTCCCCACTGGGGAACACCATGAATGAAAACTGTATCATTCTGTGATTCCATGTATGAGAGACAGACCCACCGGGAGATACACACAAAAACTTAGTGAATGAATTTACAGATATATTTTAATAAATAAAATCAAATGTTCCATGACAAAGTAGGAAAGATGCAATTGTTTCAATGTTTTGAATTTTAAAAATACATAGAATCTAGAGCTTTTTTAGAAGTACATACAGTATTAGGAGTTGATGTCAACCTGTATTATTTTTCAGGAAATAAACCAAATCAAACCCTGTGGCATCAACTGAACTCTAACTCACAGCAACCTTCCATGAGGTTCCCTGGTAATAAATATATACAGGACATTTCCCATTTTTCTCCTGAGGAGCAGCTGGTAGGTTTGAACCACTGACCTTTAAGTTGGCAGCTGAAAGTGTGGCTAGTGTTTATTAAATGTTGCTTCCTTTAGAACTGACAATAGCATAGGCAATCCCAAGTACTGCCCTCCTTGAAAATATTGTTACACTGCATAAAACTCATGAGATGTCAGCAAAAAACAACAATGTCAACAAAGAAATGAGTAAACTTCTGTGTGACTAGTGAAGGGGATGAGAAACAAACACTTGCAAACACCGCTTGTGAGCCTGTGTGTTGGCAATCACCAGTTGGAAGCCTCAGGTCTGTTTCTAACACAAGACAAAGATATTAAGCCTATAGCACAGACATAAAGATTAAAGACATAAATCACTAGAAAATTTTTTCTAAAACAGTCACGTTAGAAGAGTCTATTCACATATTAAAACTGAATGTAAAACCAAGTGACCAGGTCCTTGAGAGGTATACCAGCTGACCCTTGCCCCTAGTCTCTTGACAGCTTTGCAGCTATGACAATAATAAACAGCACCGAAATCTGGGAGATTTTGTTAAATAGACACTAAGAATTTCTGTTGCTCAACACTAAATTCTCCAAAGTACACAACATTTATATTCTAGTCTGAAAAGGTTCTATCGACAATTGGCTCTAAAAATCATCTTCACTGAGATTTAACTAAACTTCCTTTAAGCACAAATCAACAGATGGGAAGGTGTAACAATAACAAAAAGCCATCATGCCAACCTGTGGAATGGCTCCTTCACACCTCATTTTACAAAGTAAATGTAGCTTTATGTTGCATTCTTATTGTGGACATAAAGGTGGTCATGTATAATTTTTGGCATTATGATTAAATCCACATGGGAACAACACAGATCTGAAGGAGAAATTTAAGACAATTTAGAGTAAGACAATCAGAAGAAGACAAACACAGAAAGTCCCCAGTGCTTTCTGAACTAGCTACAGAAAGTAAACAGAAAAAGTAATAATAGCAAGCAACTGAGAGTGTACACTTCTTAACAAATATAAACTGACAAAATTGTCAAGCTTCATCTCCCATCATGTTTCCTACAGCATGTACACACAGAAGCTACACACTGGAGTCTGCTACTCTTATTCTCTAAAATGTTGCACCTGCTTTTAACACATTTATACATGTGCTATGCCACCGCATCTGTCTGACAATGCTAGACACCCCAAATGTTTTTGAAGAAAAATAAAATAAGCATCTGCTAATAATAATTTTATTTCATCATAAAGTGTTTAATTCTGGGCTGCAGGAGAGGGGGAGAAAGCCAAATTATGGAAAGAATAAAAGTGCCTTCACAAGTCTGTAGCAAACACGTTCAGAAGGTAAGTCTATAAATAGGTGTGCTTCTGTGAGTACATGATAAATATAAAATCGTCATGCTGGCCCGCGGCTGCAATCTGAGCTCCAATATGAACTTACCTGATTTTTCAAAGTCCTAATTGGAATACGCTGACAATCAGCCCAGATATTCCTTTTCCAGTTGCAGAGTGAGGCAAAAAACCCAACTACATTTTACTTATCTCTGTCTCATCTTTCATCAGAAGTAATAGTTTGCAATTTCATTCAGAAGCAGTCCTCCCTAAACAGACTCTGAATGTGCACGGAAACAGCAATGGAAGGAATCTAAGTTAAACCCTACAGACGCACCAATAAAATAGCAACACCAACACAAAAAAGCCACAATTCCTAAAGAGAGAGGTGCTTTTCTTAGCTGCATTTCTGAAGCCAGCCCCCCTTTCAAACACCAAAAGCCTTGCTCATGGAAGTGGGTCTTACCTGAGCTGATCATACTGTGCGTTCTTTGCTGAGCCAAGAGCTGCTCTCGTCCAGCCACCCCATCTGAGGAAAAACACGAGTCACTCTCGTAAATTGTCTGCAGCATATTCCAATCACTCTTACTTCAGCTACATGAAAGATTCATCACTGCTCAGTGCACAGGCCCCAGGAGCTACACTCCCTGGTCCTCCCTCCTCCCCGAAGAGAAGCAGCCGCAGAGGAGCAACTTCCACAATGATTTCTTTTCTGTGAAGATGGACATGCACTTTTCCAAGGACCTGGGCACCCACTCCATTACCAACCTGTGTACAAAGCGGAGAGGACAGAGTGGATGCTACAGCTCTCTCTGGAGTTTAGACTATCCCGGAAACTAAAAGCAGGTGTGAAATAGGAATGTGCTTTGGGGTTCTTTCTTTGTCAGAATAAGTAGAAAAAAAATTAACTCTACCCACGAGAAATAGAAACCAATTAAACCTGGCTTATATTTCCTTCACGCTGCAAAGGTTTTGTTGCAAGAAACCCCAGTCCTGCAAGTGGCTCTGGCTGGTGCCCTCCTCCTATCTGTTTGTGTGTGCTTCTCTCTTTCCCCTTTCTTGGTCTCTCAGCTCAAGTTGGCTAAAGCTAGTGATAATCCATTTGCATATGAATCAACAACAGCATGGCCCACAGGCACAGAAATAGAACAATGGTCGGCCTGAGCCAAAAATAGGTCAAGCATGGCCTAGTGATTGGAGCCTGCATTAATGCATTTAAAAATACCCTAGCAAACCCAGCTGTCCAGCCTCTATCTTTCAAACCATAATTCTCTATTGCTGGGTTTTAAAAGCAATTAACTCTTTCCTTCCTACTCCAGGATTGCTGTATACAGTTTCCACGCAGGCGATTAGCTTCCAGAGAAAAGAAGGTAAGGGGGGAATAAATTTAAGAATCATAATTTCAAGAGGGCAAATGCACATACATTTCGTTTCGTTTTATTTTTGTAGTATGTGTTTTTGGAAGAGTGAGAAAGAGAGCGGAGAGAGCAGTGCAGAGCTCTGTATTGGTTCTAAAATAATACTGGAAGCTTTTGCTCATAATGTGGTTTCTGCCTCACCCACGCACAGCAATCCTGGTGTTCTATTTTTGTTGCCTGTTTCTCTGGCTACACTGCAGTTGGCTGTAGTGCTAGAAGCTTTTCAGCCTTCTAGTTTCAAGACTGACAGGAGATTTAGTAGAGGTAGTTTGGAAAACAAGCACACCCTAGAATAAAATGTTTATAAAGACTAGTTTGCTATTTTATCTTCCCTCCCCTTTTTTTTTCTGTTTATGTAAAGCACTTGTCCACTTCACAATCCTCACTGCCTATCAGGCTTATGGTATCCAACTCCTACCATATCTAAATTAAAGAAAACAATACAACAAAAATGCCACATATACTTAAGACCTGAAAAGTGCCGTCTCTTTAAGTCTTTCCAGCTAACTTCCCCTTACCTATAACAGGGGGGAAAAGTATGTCTGTCCTTTCTTATAAACGGATAAGGAGGTCTGACAATAGACACCTGTGGATCATTTAATATAGTCAGTGTATGACTATGAGAACCTTGTATTTTCATTCTACACTGGTCACCTGGAAAACAGATCTCATTTTTCTATATAAAAAATTATTTTTAAAGTGGTTAGGTTGACACACCAGCACATCTGTGAAATTCACCTAAAGCAAATGAACTCTATCTTATGTAAAATTCTGTAGTCTCTGGAACATGTTCACCATCATTTCTATATGAGAAGTGAATCAGACACTCCAAACTAGGAATGCTGGCAACAAACCACGCCCAAAGGCAAGCCCACTGTTCCTCAAAGTTTGGCTTCCTTTTCAGAACAAAATCAGAAAAACTCAAATGCAACCTCATTACCATCTAGTGGAAATAAACTCACAGCTGACCTTTTAGGGAGGTTTTGGAGGGTGTAAATTGGAAGAGAGGAGACTGACCAACCTCTTTCCATGAAGCTACTGGTGCATTCGAAATGCCTTTGAGTTAGCAGCACAACAGCCTATGGACTACAACAAGGATGAAAATATAATTCCAAAACTATCAATAGCAATAGAGAACAAAAGAGAAGAAAGAGCCTGTTTGAAGGTTCTCTGGAGGGTCTTAGTCAACCTCCTTATAGCGCAGATGGAAGAGAACAATAGAGAGGAAGTTTGGGGTAAAAGGAGGAACAACATTAAATCACCAGCCAGATATACCACTGATGAAAGAAACTATTGATGTATTCCCATTTTTAAAGAGATTAAACACTAATGAATCGTCTATGAGAAATTATATTTGAATCAAAAGGTTACACATATATTGGGATTGATAAGTTATTTTTTTTAAAAGATCCCCAACTAAACATACTTCAGGCTAAACCAAAAACAAAACAAACCAACCAATTTTCTAATCCTATCATAGTATTTATTCCATCTGATATTAGAAGTAAATTTTCAGTCAAGATACCTACGTGCACATTTAAGGACCCAAAATAATTGTGTACCTGATAATTCCTTTGAGAACGATGCTTTTATCATATTAAAAAACAACTGTCCTTTGTTTTATTTAATTTTGTTTTACTGTGCTTTAGATATTAAAAAACAACTGTCCTTTGTTTTATTTAATTTTGTTTTACTGTGCTTTAGATGCAAGTTTACAAAGCACTTTGGTTTTCCAACCACTACTTCATATACAAGCCGTTCTGTGACATTGATTACAATCCCTCTAGTATGTAAGGAGACCCTATTTCCTCTGTTTCTATTTCCCATTTGTCTTACTTTCCTATCCTTCTCTGTCTTTTCATCTTTGTTTTACGGCACATGTTACCCTTTTGGTCTCAAATAATTGAGGAAAATGTTCTGAGGAGAACATTCTTTAGCCAGTGCTACTGCTTGTCTTGTAGTTTTTGTTGGATGGCGTCAAGTACAACCCATAATGACCCTATGAATTAGAAATATAAACTCTTGACCTATCACTTCTGATGTATGTGAGCCCATGTCAGTAGTCACTGTGTTAATCCATCTGGTTGAGGTCTTCCTTTCTTTCACTGACCCTCAACCTTTCCAAGTGTGAGTTCCCTCTCCAAGGAACAGCCTCTCTTCATAACATGTCCAAAGTATGTGAGACCAAATTTTTATCATCTTTGCTCTCAAGAAGCACTCAGCACCTTCTCCAAGATATATATGGTTATTCATTTGGCTGGAAGGTGTTCTCCAAGAATATCCTGTTTCAAGTGAAAAGTTTTCTCAAGACAATAGTCACCTAATATTTTCCTACAGTAAATCTGCATCTTTTTTCCCACTGTTACTGTGTTTTTTTAAATATGTGAATTAATTCTATACTTTTAAAAACTCATTCTAATTGAGATCTTCTAGGACATGTTGCGAGGAGAGGCTATCCTTTGGAGAGGGACACCATGCTTGGAAATATGGAGGGTCAGCAAAAGAGAACAGACCCTCCAGCAGGATGGATTTACATGGTGACTGCATAATGGGCTCAAGCTTATCAGAGATGATGGGCATGGTCGATAGGACAGGGTTCAGGCCAGTTGTTTATAGGGTCTCTATGAGTCATACTCAATGGCACCTAACAACAACTACAACAACAACAGTGTAATCCTAGAAGATCCCAACTAAAATGAGTACCATAACAAAAGAAAGAATTAATTTCTTCATTAGTCCTGGTCAGAGTGGTCAGTGGTAACCAAACATCAGGTAGGTCTTCTGGTCTCAGACTGGAGGTGCAGGTGGTTCATGGGACCATTAGTCCTTTTCACTAAATACATTCTTAGGTATTCGATTTTCTTTGCTCTCCTTTGTTTCTTAAGTGGTCATTCACAGGCTTTTAAGGCCCAGATGCCATTCACTAGACTAGTTTATAACAGATCATCTTTATAAATTGTCTTGTCATTTCACTTAGATGTCTCCTTAACACTTATGTCCAAGTACTTCAGTACCAATGTCTAAGTTTTTATAAGTCTTCTGACTGTGTATTACATTATTTAAGTGTTATTGTTGTTGTTGTGTACCGTCAAGTCAGAACCAATCCAAAACTGAACCTTTTGCGAGTTTTCAGAGACAAGTAATAGCACTGGAAAAACATTAAAAAATAAATATGTAGCAATATAATGGTTTCCCTTTCCAAAGAATGCAAACAGTCATTACAAAGACAGAGGAGGAAGAAAAGACTAAGATGGATGGCAGAAGAGACTCTGAATACTATAGCAGTTTGTAGATAGGCCAAAGCAAAGAGAAGAAAGCAGGTAGTTAAGAAGCCGAACAAAAGATTTCAAAGGGCACCAAGAAATTGGGAGAACAACTACCTGACCAACTGATTGGAAGAGACCCATATTTATTACCCTTTTTTTTAAAAAAAAAAAGGTGACCCAACAGAATGTGGGAACTGTCGAACAATATCTCTAACATCAAACACAAGAAAAATCCTGCTGAAGATCATCCAAATATGACTGGATCTACCATCGACAGAGAACTACCAGAAATACAAGCTAGATTTAGAAGAGGCCTTGGCACCAGGAACATTAATCGCCCATGTCAGGTAGATCTTGGCTGAAGGCAGAGTACCAGAGAAATGTCTATCTGTGTTTCATTGACTATGTGAAGACATTTGTGTGGATCACAACAAACTGTGGCTAATCTTGAGAAGAATGGAAATCCCAGAGCACTTGACTGTGCTCATACTCAGACCAGGAAGCAGTTGTCAGAAAAGAGCAAGGAAACACTACTTGGTCCAAAATGAGGAAAGGAGTGCATCAGGGATGTTTCCAGTCTCCACACCTTTTCAATTTCTATGCTGAACAGATCACTGGGGAGGCTGGACTTTATGAGGAAGAATATGACATCAAGATAGCAAGAGGACTCAACAACAACTTGCACTACGCAGATGACACAATCTTGTTTGGCAAAACTGAGGAGGACCTGAAGTGTTTACTGAAAAGGATTGTAGTCTTCAATATGTATTAAAGCTCAATATCAAGATGATAAAATTCTTACCACTAGGCCAAGTGGCAGCTTCATGATAGAGAAAAGGCAGAGATAGTTAACAACTTCAACTTTCTTGTTTCCACAATCAACATTCTCGGCACCAGCACTCAGGAAACCTAAAGACAAATTGCGTTGGGAAAGTCTGCTATCAGAGACCTCTCTATATTTCTGAAAAGCAACTATGTCACTCTGGAAACTAAGATGCTCCTGATACAGGCCATGGTCTTTGTAATTACTTGCTATGAATCAGAGAACTGGAAAATAACTAAGGATTATAGAAGAAGAATTAATATCTTTGAATTGTGGTGCTAAAGAAGAGTGTTGAACATATCAAGGGCTGCCAGGAGAACAAACAGGTCTGTCTTGGAGAGGGTGAAACCAAGCTGCTGCTTGGAGGCAAAGATTTGAAGCTCCATCTCATATACTTTGGGTGCATAGCCAGGAGGGACCACTTATTGGAGAAGGACATTATTCTTGGAAAGGGGGGGGGACAGCACAGGAGAGGAAGAGTCAAGATCAGATGGATTGACTCAGTAACTGGATTTATGGGTTTAAGTATA